TACCAACACCAGAACGACCTTGGGAGGCAGTGTCGATAGATTTTATGACTGATCTGCCGAAGTCCAAAGGGAAAACAGCCATCATGGTGGTGGTAGACCTACTAACAAAGATGTGCCACTTTGTAGCTTGCTCGCATGCAGTCACGGCGGAAGAGACAGCGAAGTTATTTGTAGAACACATTTTTAGGTTGCACGGGGTGCCATTGAGGGTGGTCTCAGACCGAGGAAAACAATTTACTTCCAGGTTCTGGAGGAAGCTCATGAGCTTACTGCAGGTGGAGGTCAACTTTCGACTGCCCGGCACCCTGAAACCAACGGGCAGGCGGAAAGAGCAAACGGTGTCCTCCAGCAATACCTGAGGTGTTATGTCAATGACAGAGAGAATGACTGGGTAGAAAAGTTGGCGCTGGCGGAATTTGCCTACAACAATGCCGAGAATGTGTCCACAGGGATGAGCCCCTTCTTGGCTAATTATGGGTGTCATCCCAGGGCTTTCCCAGGGGAGAAGGGGAGAGATGGAGCGTACCGGCAGCCGAGCATTTTGTAGAAGAAATGGAAGCAATCCACCGTCAGCTCCAACTCAACTTAGAAAGGGCGAAGGAAGAATACAAGAGGCAGGCAGACAAGAACCGAAGGGAAGGTGAAACCATAAGGGTTGGAGATAGGGTGTGGCTGTCAACCAAAGGGTTGCCGTTCAAAGGAGGTTGTAAGAAATTAAGACCCAGGAGGTTGGGTCCCTTTGAGGTCATTCAACAGGTCAACCCAGTGGCTTTCAGGCTCCGGTTACCCAACCACATGAAACTGCACCCAGTATTTCACAGGTCGTTACTGTCACCGTACGAGGGGGGACGAGAAGGGAGGGCCACTAGGGGACCGGTCATAGAAGAAAGAGAATGCAGCAGTCATGTGGCAGAAATCATTGATGCCAGGTGGAAGGGGAATCAGGTGGAGTATTTGGTAGCGTGGGAAGGAGAACCGGAGTCAGAAAACACGTGGGTAATGGCTGAAGATATCAATGACGAGGTATTGATAGAAACGTTCCATCAAAGGTTCCCGAGGAAACCTCAGCCTGTGGAGAGGTTCCGGAGGGAATACTTTGGGACCACTGAGGAGGAGGAGGAGTTGGAAGGATTCCCAGAATCGGAAGGGGAAGGGAGATGGACTCGGAGGAGGAGGAGTGCTTCGAGACCAGGAACCGCAACAGGTGGAGAGAAGTGTTCGAGACATCGGAAGATGAAGGAAGTTCATTCCGGGTTTTGCCTCCTCACCGCCCGTAGAGGAGGGGCGAGAGGGGGTGAAGGGGGCCCTGGAGGGGAGGTGGATGTCAGGGAACTGCCATCGGAAGGAAGGGAGGTGAAAGGACTCAGACAGGTTGGAAGAGACTCAGCAGCTGAAGAGGGAACCAGCAAGGGAGAGAAGCTGAACTGAGGGAGGTGAAAGGGCTCAGACAGGTTGGAAGAGACTCAGCAGCTGAAGAGGAAACCAGCAGGGGAGAGAAGCTGAACTGAGGGAAAGGGAGCTGGGGGATGGCTCAGAGATACTTCCAGCGAAAACAGTGGTGAGGTTTCCGGACCTCCTGTAGGGACACCCACTCCTCGCCGGAAACTGTCACGCAGAGAGTCCAGAAGACGTGTTTCCGTTAAGGAGCTTTTATGTTGGAAGCGATTACTAAAGCAACCACTGTCGGAATCTTCTAGTGACTAGAGGAGCCATGTCAGAGGGGCTCAGTCACAGACAGAGGTTTGTGGACTTGAACAAACTCTGAGGGAATACGATTTTACGCACAAGCAGCTCATCATCCCATCACAATAACCATTTTACCACCTGCAGATATGACAATTTTCTATGTTTTCTTAATCCTAACATTTTTGTGAAGTGGACCAGTATTAACATTCTTTTTGAACAAAAGGCATATTGATGCAGATACTGGCTTGCCTTAGCTAGACTTTTTTTTCTGGATGCACTGGTTGCCTTAGTAACTGAAAATTGAAACTTAGTTTAAGTATAATTGCTCCATATGTTTGTACAAATCACACATCACTGTGATCCTTTAAAACAGTGAGCAATTATTGGCAGAGAATTTAAAAGAAAATTAATGATCAAATGCTGAAATATGCACAAAATATTTAAATACTCAAATGCCAAAAAAAGATAATTGTATCTAATTTTTCTTTTAATTTGTGCCACTCAATTAAAAATATAGAAAAGATAACTGTTCAAACATGCAACCACAGCCTGACCTGCAGTAATTTATTCAAAGCCGAAGCAAAGCATTTGGTAAAGCTGAATACATTTCAATATACGGTAAAAAAAAGTTACACCTCCAGACTATATCTAAGTTGGGAGAGGCTGGGCAAGCACTGGATTGATGTCTGGATGCAAAGGTGGACTGGATGAGGGTGAATAAACTGAGCTTGAATCTTGGAAAAACATAGACTTTGTGGTTGGTTGGTTCCCATGTCCAGGATATAGGCCAATTGCCTATTCTGGATGGGATGGAGCTCCCTCTGAAGGACCAGATTTCCAACTTGTACTCCTTGATCCATCTTTGACACTAGAGGCCCAAGTGACCTCTGTGAGTAGAAGTGCCTTCTACATATCAGCTTTGGCTAGTTTGCCAGCTGCAACCATTCCTTGACTAGGATAGCCTGATCACAGTGGTCCATATATTGCATAGCTGTCAAGTGTCCCTTATTTGAAGGGACAGTCTCTTATTCCAGCGCCATGTCCCGCTGTTGTCACTTATTGATAGATGTCCCTTAAATGTCCCTTAAATGATGTCCCTTAAATTTCAAAGGAAGCAGCTCCTCTCCCCCCCTCCCTGCCGGCCAGGGAGGAGGGAGGCTCCAACTGTGTTGCTTGGCTGTGTTGCTCACCCAATAAGAAGTCAAAGAACGACTGGGGGGTGGAGCTTGCATGCCTTGTGTGTGGCTAGTTAATGCAAGCTGAGGGGTTTTTTGAATGCTGGACGCCATTTTGTTGCACGTGTTGCTGCAAACTTTGCAGTGCAAAGCCAGACCGGGGAGCCATCTTAAGTTGAGGCTGCATAGGCCTTGTGGTGCATGTGATTCAGATTCTATTCAGTTGAACCTCTGGTTACAAAGTTGGTTGGACAGTGTTCTCGAAGCTACCAGCATGAGTTTGACCAGACTGCAGGAGGACAGGAAGACTGGAGTGCCTGGAACAGGTGAGGCTGCAGGTCCCTTATTTTGGCTGCTGGTCCCTTATTTTCAAGGCTGCTGGTCCCTTATTTTCAAATCTGTAAGTTGACAGCTATGATATATTGGTAAACCTTGATTACCAAAACTCAGTTTATGTGGGGCATCTCTTTAATTTGGTCCGGAATCTGCAACAAGTGAAGAATATAGCAGCTAGACTGCTTGCAGGAGAAGGTTACTTACTGACTGAATATTACTCCTTTGCTGAGAGAGCTGTACTGGTTGTGGATTTGCTACTAGGTCATGTTCAAACTTCTTTTGTGAATTCACAAAGCCCTAAACAACTTGGGTCCTGATTCCCTTTTTTCTACTTTGAACCCCAAGATCTTCTGATGGGGCACTTCTGGTGTATGATCATGAGGTTCACCTAATCTCATTTTCACAATGCTAAACTATGGTTTAGCATTCCATTTCACACAGCCATTGTAACTTGATTTTAAAAGCAATCGTGTGAAATTATGCCTTCCTGTTAATGAAGAATTGTTTTAGTGCTAAATTCTCAGTTTTCTATTGAAATTTCTGTTCTATATTTAATGTATTTAAATCCATATCTTAGGGAAGTTTGAAGAAACTAAGTAATTTAGAATGTTGTATATGTGTGTTGCTGACTATTTAATTTTATTTAATGAAGTGTGAAATAGAATGTAGAAACATTTGCATAGCATACCTGATGAGACTATGCACCTGTAGTAGTGCTCTGTATTTTATTCTCACCTCTTTCCTGAGCGTCATTTCCTGAATGCAAAATGTATCCTGTGGTTAAAACAATGTATTTCCCTCCACTTATCCTAAATAAGAAACACATCCCATTGTTTCTTAAGCTACTATCCCCAAATGCCAGATTTAATAAAAAGGGCAATGCAAAGTTGTTGTTTTAAAGTGGAAAGAATAATTTATGTTACAATTATTTTCCCAGCTGTGAAGGGGTGGGATCAACATTATACGTTGAGTTCATAATTTAACAAACAAGTCCTAGTACTGCTTTTACAACTTTGCTTCTGATTTATATCAAGGGTTGTTTGCAACTCTGTAGCCTACTACTCAGCTCATAAGAAATTGTCCAATATGAGAACCAGTTTAGAGCTTATTTGTCTTTGGGATCAACCACTCTTGCTGATAGGAGGAAGGGTGCAGAATACAAGCTTTACTTCCTCTTTCACTTTTGTGTATATGCAGCTATTGTCGTTTTCTTAAGACAAGCTGCTTTGCACCAAGAGTTGCAACAGAGGAAAATGAAAGTAAAGTCTCAGTTGTGTACTCATTTGTCTCTCACTTATCATATCTATTTTTTGGTGCTTGGAATAATTAATAAGCAGATTTTGACAATCCAATGGCTTTTAAAAATGGAAAATATGAATTATACTAACAATGCTGCTTGTTCATATTTTGAATACTGTACATTATAATGGTATATTTATCTATTTGTGTTTGTTTGTTTGTTTGTTTGTTAAAAAACAAACAAACTAGGCTGCCAAGATCTGTGGGCAACAATGACTGAAATGTCATTACTTTCTTCCAAGGATAACCACCAAAAACCAGAAGGTATTTCCGTCCCGCTTCTTGGAACTTTGAGCAATTTACATTTCTTTAAAGTTTTGAACAGATTTAAACTGTCCCTCCCCCCGATACTTTTGAATTTGTGTGTGTGTATCTGTATATGTAGTATTTTGGTTGTATCCTCCCTCTCTCCAGAGTATCTATCCCCACTTTTGCTGTTGTCCCTTAATACTGTTCTCTTGGGATTATTACTTCCACCTTGGCTTGCCTTGATGTTGGATTTTTACCTGAGGGATAGCTCAGTCAGTAGAGCATGAGACTCTTAATCTCAGGGTCATGGCTTTGAGCCCCACATTGGGCAAAAGATTCCTGCATTGCAGGTGGTTGAACTAGATGATCGTCATGGCCCCTTCCAACTCTATGATTTAAGATTTCTATGATTTCCTCAGTCTTTAAGACAAATAACCTGGATCAGTGTACATGGTTCCCTAGCACAATCTAGGGAGGGATAAGTGTGAAGTCTGGGCTATTACATGTATGTGAAATTTGATTGGAACTGGAAACTAAGAGTCAGAGTAATTATTACATGAAAACAGTCCACATCTTTTCTATTCTGATTCAATCGTTCTCATTCATTCATATTGTGGGGCCTAATTTGGATTAGGATCAACATATTGGATCAGGGTAGTCAGACACTTGTTCTCTATGTCATAGCCCTAGTCTTGATCCTCCCTGCAAGTTGCTGTTAGCCATAGAGGGCGAAATATATACCTAACAGCAAAAGCTGTAGACTGTATATTCTTACCTGAGAGTAAGGACTCAGCTATATAACTGCAAATAAAACATTTTAAGTGTGTTGTAAGTGTTATATACAATGTGACACTTGATGGCGATGGTGAACCTTATGGAAAATTCAATGTATTTTTAAAAGCGCTTTTCAGAATGGTTTTTATATGTGTGTACAGTGGTACCTTGGTTCTTAAACTTAATCCATTCTGGAAGTCAGTGTCAAAACCAAAGCATTCCAAAACCAAGGTGCACTTTCCCATAGAAAGTAATGCAAAGTGGATTAATCCGTTCCAGACTTTTAAAAACAACCCCTAAAACAGCAATTTAACATGAATTTTGCTATCTAACGAGACCATTGGTCCATAAAATGAAAGCAGTAAACAATGTACTGCAGTCACACAATCAATCAATCAGTAGCTGAACTGGGTTCCACACAGTCAGAAAAACAAAACAAATAAGCCTCGAAAACAAAAATGCAAAATTAGCAAAGACAGACAGAACTCAACGTAACACTCAAAACGGAAGTGTGGTACTCAAATTGGAAGTTTAACACTCAGAACGGAGCACGTTCGGCTTCTGAAAAAAGTTCACAAACCAGAACACTTACTTCAGGTTTGCAGCGTTTGGGTTCGAAGTTGTTTGAGTACCAAGGCATTTGAGAAGCACCGTAGTTCCCACCAAAGTCCCACTGAACTGCATAGGGCTGCATGGCAAGCCTGTAATTTTTTTTTTTACTTTTTATGACAATGGGCTGCAATCCTGAATCTTGGCCAGGAGCAGCAAGACTGAATGGAGTGGTGAAGCCAACACCACCTTTGAAGACCTGTAGCTCACACTGGACAAAGTAAAAGGTGGAGGAGCAGTAAAAACGCAATCTTTTGCTACACCAGCTCCAGGCTGGCACAGCAAGAGGCCCATAGTGAGTGTATTGCTGGTAGATGGCCTGGCATAGCATCCAAGTACCTGCAATGCTCTATTGTCTGGTTTACATTGGCCACCAGCAGAGGCAATACCGTGGAGGCCCTGAGTCAGCATCCTAACCTCTTCCAGCTTGACAGATAAGGCTGCTCTTACATGCCTGAATGTGCAATAATGATTTACTCACTACATTTTTATCCTGCTTTTCAGACAGTTATGGCCTCTCAAAGTGGCTCACAGTAATTAGAAAAAGAGGGAGAGCAGCCCTGAGTTGTTAGAGAACTGGCATGAAAGCAAATAGCTAACATCTCCTCTTCCCACCACCATCCTTCTCCAAATTGGTGCCTATTGTTCCTGGTTTAAGAAAGAAAAGGTGTTGGGAGCTTGAAATACAAGATTCCGTGTGACATCTACTTATAAAATGTAGTTGATCACACATTCTTTGTAACTTGTAAAACTTGTAAAAATATTTATTACTTGCATTTCCCCCCCCCCCTCATTTTTTTGGAATACTTTTAGGGATGAAGGAAAACATTTGGGGGGACTTGCCCTGCAAGCAACGTAGCTGTGCTGCTGTAAATGCTCCAGCTTCATGTGTTCACAAAGCTATCCATCACATTCAAGACCTAGAAGTAAAAGTGGAAGAATCCTTTCAACAGGTACTTTATTTATTTCCCAATCTTCACAGAAATTTTACTAGAGCTCATTTTTATTTGACATCAAAAATAGGGGCACAAGTAATACTACAAAAACAATAATAAACAACAAGAGCAATAATACCGAAGGCTCCATTTGTGGGTTGCTCTTCCCAGGCCAGCTCGCCTGGTGCCTTCATTTTACATCTTTAGGCGCCTGGCAAAAACATTCCTCTTGAACTAGGCCTTTGTCTGATTAACGTTCTATGTGCTTTTAAATGTGTTTCTGGGAGGACGGGTTATTGGTTTGCTTTGTTTTTAATATGTGTCAGGGAACTGCCATCAGCTCAGAGGTGGGAGGTGGAAGGGCAGTTGGGTTACAGGGAGCAACACCGAACCTGAGCAAAGCGGGGGGGGCGGCAGGTCCCCTTTTGCCCACGCCCTCTCTGCGCAGTAGGCTCATGCGCAGAGAGGGGAGGCGTAGGATGGGTGTCAAAAAACTGCTCTGCTGGGGAAAGTTTAAGGACCACCCACTCCCAGATTCTGTTAGCGACTGAGCAGACATGGAACTGAGTCAGTCTGTATTGTGAACGTTTTGGACAAATAATAAAGCCTTGAAAAGACCAACGGGGAGTCTTGCCTGTTTGCTCTCGAGCAACCACGCCCGCATTCATAACAATATGTATTTTGTATTTTGATGCTGTGAACCACCCTGAATTCTTTGGATGGAGAACAGTAAACAAATTTAATAAATAATAATACTGTATAGAATTTTCTTATTTTGATTGCCTTATGATGGACATTTTGGGTTGCTCCCTCCACTGCTATTTGACTACAAAATTAAAAACTTTCAGTTTGGTTGGGAAACACAGATTTCAATATATCAGAACAGGATGTGTGACCAATGATTGTATTTTCACAATATATATATAAATATATATATTTTCTTTAAACGTGAAATCACAAATAGCCCAGAGGTGGATCATTTGATCCAACCCTTTGATCCAGCTGTCACACACTACATCCACAACTCAAATGTTTGGCAGATGACACTTACTTTGTAAGCCAAGTAGTAATAGAAAAAATAAGATTTTAACCTTGTTAACTGATTCATAGACTGCCGTTATGAAAGCTGCTGTTACAAGGCTTGACGTGTTTAGGAAAGCAATACATAAAATATAACGTTACTGCCATATTTGTATGATTTATTTTTTTAAAAAAGTCTGTGGTCCGTGAAATCATTTAAAAACAAATTCAACTTGTCTCCATACACATACTCAGTGCAAATTCTACAACATAAAATATGTTAATGAAGCATCTTTTTTGTATTTGCAGTATGATCACTTGTACAAGCTGGAGAAAATTCCATGGTAAGGATCTTATGAGTTTTGATTTAATGTTTGTACCAGGCACCATTCTAATTGTTTTTGTTTTACTAATACACACATGGAGTTCTAGCATGAATAAGGGCTTCCCCATTCACTTTAATGCTTGCTTACTTACTTCGCCAAACCTTTATTAGGCATTACAAATATAGGCTATCATAAAACATCCGTACATAAAATTTTAAAATATATACAATAACATCCATATATAATTTGTAATAATTAGGGTTTTCACTGGAGTTTCTTCCCACCAAATAGTGCCATTCACTTTAATGAGGGAAGCCTGCTTGTGCACACATAGGGATCCCCACTCATATTTTGACCAATTAATGTTTTTCAATTTTTTAAAAATGTATTTACCACCACCTCAATTCAAATTTAATACAAATTTAAAAGTGACTTCCCACCCTGCCATCTTGATATTTCAATTCCCACAAGAGTTGAGGTGTTAAGGGGATAAGCCAGGAAGAAGAAGAAGAAGAGTTTGGATTTGATATTCCACTTTATCACTACCCGAAGGAGTCTCAAAGCGGCTAACATTCTCCTTTCCCTTCCTCCCCCACAACAAACACTCTGTGAGGTGAGTGGGGCTGAGAGACTTCAAAGAAGTGTGACTATCCCAAGGTCACCCAGCAGCTGCATGTGGAGGAGCGGAGACGCGAACCCGGTTCACCAGATTACGAGTCTACCACTCTTAGCCACCACACTGGCTCTCAATATGAGAATGGGGAACATTCTCATATTGGTGGGAGTTGAAGTCTCATAGCAACATCTTGAGGGTTATAGGTCCCTTGATTAAGACAATAGTTTCATGAAAGATGTGGATACTGAAGATGGATTTGAAGTAACATGTAGATGTTACAAGGGCGTTCCAGCCTTAAAATATTTACTTATATTTACAGGGAGTCAGATATTAAAAATGTTGAAGATAGCTGGTTATCCTCTGAACTGAAGGCTAAACAGTCATTATATTGGGAAGGTAAAAATGGTTGAGTATTTACCCTCTCTGTCACAATGTTATTAGCCAAACTATTTAGTTCAACTTATTTCCTGAGAATTATAGAATTATTTATACTAGATAGTGCCCATTCTAGTGGTTGGAATGTCTGGAATCCGTAGGATGGTGCCGTTTGCCATTTGTAACTCAGAAATTTCTGCAAGGGAGAGGACCAAAGGAGAAAACAGTAATTCTCTTGACTGCTGTGTTGAAATAGTCCTTAGCTACAGTGAAGGAACCTTTTCCAAATTCATTTTCCACGACACATTCTGTGTTCACTGCTTATACTAAGATATATCTGATAACAGTGATTTTGAAAGTATGTTGTGTTTTTGAAACTGAAAAACTAAAACAGATTTTCTTTTAGATAATGTTTACTAAAACATAAGCTAAAATGTAAACAGCTATATACATTTGCAGGATAGTGTTTTCATGGATAATTTATCATCACTGAAAACATTCAAATATTCAAATTTTTCTTAATGCTGATGAATATTTTCTCATGAAAACAGGCAGAGTTGTGTCTCATGCTGCTTTACACACAGCGGCAAGCAGTACTGTTAAGCATTGATTCTAGTAGAAAAGAAGGGGGTAAGTGTTGTTTTGCCCAGCAATTACACCCCAATAATTCATTGTC